GGGCTGCCATTCAGAGGGACCTGGACAGGCTGGAGAGATGGGCAGGGAGCAATCTCCTGAAGTTCAACAAAGGCAAGTGCAGGGTCCTGCACCTCATGCAGCAGTACAGGCTGGGGGTTGACCTGCTGGAAAGCAGCTCTGCAGAGACAGACCTGGTGGACAACACCAGGTGTCCTGGTGGACAACAACTTGAGCATGAGGCAGCAATGTGCCCTTGTGGCCAAGGAGGCCAACGGTATCCTGGGCTGCATTAGGAAGAGCATTGCCAGCAGGTGGAGGGAGGTGATCCTTCCCCTCTCCTCAGCCCTGGGGAGGCCTCACCTGGAGTCCTGTGTCCAGTGCTGGGCTCCCCAGTACAAGAGAGACATGGAGCTCCTGGAGAGAGTCCAGCAGAGGGTTACAAAAGTGATGAGGGGACTGGAACATCTCTCCTCTGAAGAAAGGCTGAGGGAGCTGGGCCTGTTCAGCCTGGAGAAGAGAAGGTTGAGGGGAGATCTGATCAACGTGAAGGGAAGGTGTCAAGAGGATGGGGCCAGACTCTTCTCACTGGTGCCCAGCGACAGGAGAAGAGGCAACAGGCACACAAGCTGAAACACAGGAAGTTCCTTCTGAACATGAAGAAAAACTTGTTTCCTGTGAGGGTGACTGAGCACTGGAACAGGTTGCCCAGAGAGCTTGTGGAGTCTGCTTCCTCGGAGGTATTTAAAAGCCACTTGGACACTGTCCTGGACAACGTGCTGTGGATGTCCCTGTTTGAGCAGAGGGGCTGGACTAGCTAATCTCCAGAGGTCCCTTCCAACCTCAAACATTCTGTGGTTAAACTAATTTACATCATGATGCTATGTCAAGTGGATGATGGAGGAGACTTAGTAAAAGAGATAAGTGGTAGTAAAACTTAGTTATCTTTCATTGGTAAGACAAAACTAGTTTAGCATCTTCTATCTTGTTGCATCGTATTTCTTTTTCCTTATACGTTTCAATTCATATTCTTTCAAATATTAGTTCTAAAGGAAAAATAAAGACTTATATCCTACTGAAAACAAACTAGTAAGCCTATTTAATACCGGTCACCTCCCCTTTGTCCACATTTACGAGCACGAAATTTCCTAATTTTTATCATTCCTGATTTAGTAAGTCTTATGCTTTTTTGTTTTTCTAAGAAATCTGGAATGGAGAATTTTTACACCTTCCCACAGAGAAAATTTATAAAGCTTTCTAGATCTTTTTTTATGCAGGTTTCCATTTCCTTATCTTAATTTTTCATTAGTCCTTCCAAATAGCCTTCACATCTTGGGACAAACTCCAGCTTGTTCTTCAAGGCTTTGAATGTGTTCCAGGAACTAGACTTTGTAACTAATTTGAAACCGCCTGTTGGTCTTATGCCTCTGTGCCCTTTCTAGAAATCAAAGGAATTCTCTTAAAGATTGCTGAAATCCTTTTTCAGTGGTAGTGTTGGTGGTTTTTGTCTAATCCACTATAGTTATTGCTAATTTTGATAATCTTGAATTTTGAGTTTTTTGAGTCTTAGAGGAGTAGTGGATTATTTCTTGAACCACTGAGATCTTTTTCATGTTCTGTTCTAAATCCTGTATTCTTACTCTTGACATGCAGTCTGAATTTTCTGTTCTGTTTTTGTATGTGACTGAGGACTTCCTCTTCTCAGGGTTTCATCTCTCTTGTAAGGGGATGAACCTCTGATTTTCTGTCTTGCTTTTTAAGGTCATTTGACTTTCTTTTCTTTTATATAATCTTATTTATTTAGATCACACTTTTTTGAGCCATCCCATCTTTTCCTTCTGCCTCTTTTTTCCTTGTCTGAAATATTGCCTCAACCCTCTCCTTCACCTGATGTCCCTTTAACTGGTCACGTAATTAATGATCCCTGATGTCCCTTTAACTGGTCACATAATTAATGATCCTTCTTCTCAACTACTCTTAAACTTCTATTTAATCTGTAAATACTGACTTACCTCTTCCCCATTTTCTCAAAACTGCATACAAACTCCATCATTTCCAGCTGCAACTTTAATCTCCAACTAAGAATTTACCTGGGTGACAATTTATGCAGAAATAGTCTTCATCAAATGCCTATTCAAAACTATTAAGCAGAACTTCTGTATATGGTCACTTTGACTGGGTCTTCTTCAGTGCTGCCTCTGTTGCCATCACTATCCATTCTCTCTTCCTTTTTTCCTGAAGAGTGAGAACTGCTCGTTCCTTGTCTTGGAAAGTCACTTGCAAGTTTTTCTGTTTAATGCTTTTTACTTGCTGGATAAAACAATGATAGTTTCTGTGATAGAACTAACAAAGCACTTTAGGTTTCTAAATTTGTTTTTTGAGGAGAAGGAGACACTTCATTTTTTTTTCTGTTCAGCAATAGGTATTGGAACGCATCTGTCACATGGGCTATGAGATTGCAGGCTCAAGTTAGTTTAATTTAAATTTTGGCTCTTACATTGGTGAAGTGTTGTAGGCACATATGACAGAACATTATTTAACGGGTTATGAGTATTCCTAAATCATCAGGCACAATAAATGCAATACTTGAAATCAATATATTTTTAATATGCTCTTCTCCAGCTCCTGTCCTGAGATGGTTTGAGAAACAAATGTTGGAAAATGATGGTTCTGAAGAACAACATGTTTTTGAAGACCTTTTTTATGTAGTGCTTGTAATAGAAGTATTTTGTATTCCCTGTGGTCATATTTCCCAAAGTCTAGGCTCTTCAGGATCAGCAGCATGATACTTAAGATTAATAGCCTGAGAGAATTAAGTAATGTATTCTAGATTTAAAATAAATTTCTGAAATAAAGTAATTTAAAAATACAAAGGTAACTATTTTTGTCATCAGCCCCCATTTTTCAGTGAATCAGTAGCAGCAAAGTGTACACCACTCCTGGAGAAACCTTCTAAAATGTAATTTATTGCAGTATATGCAGGTGATGTTAATGACTTTATGCAAAAGCAAATTAAATCTTATGCTTGGTCAAAATAGATTGTTCCACTCCATCTACTCCTCCCTTTGCTCAGCGTTTCAATCCATATTTCATTTAAAAAATCCTTGGTGTGCCATCTGTAGCTGTTTGCTTCTACTTTGCACCCAGTCTGGATTCTACAGGTAATAACTGAGTTGGGAAGATTTGCCTTGTAAGTGGATCCCAAAAGAGAAGAACCAAAGGAGGATGATTGGGCAAGCTTCCCTTCAGTTGTCGACAGCCTGTATGGCCTTGCATGAACTGTAAAGAATCAATAGCAATGGCTTGGAATGATATCAGTTGGTATCATTCCAAGAGGCTCTGGAGACGATCTTGCAGCTCCCTGAAGCTGCGCAGTGCCTGGGTGTGGGTGTCGGGCTCCTGCACTAGGTGCTGGAAGAGGTTGAACGGGCTGGTTGCTAGAAAGGCTGGTGGCAGAGAAGCTCCCTGGGCACCCTCTTGTTGCCTAGGAGGAAGTGGTAAAGCTGTTTCTCCTCCAGGCGGCGGTGCGGGTAGTGCACAACATCGCTGAGCCTCTCCTGCACATCCCCCCTGTGCCAACTAGACAGCAGGATGATTGTGAGGAGGTGCATCACCACTGTTTTCAAGCAGTAGCTGGAAAAGCCTGTGCCCCCAAGTTGGGCAAAGAGCTGCAGACATTCCAGGTGGCAGCTGTCCCTGGGGGCCTGCCTTGCCATGAACCTGAAGAAGAGCACCTCAGGAACAGCACAGCTCTCCAGCCATGTGATGCTGCTGGTGAGGCCAGCCTCTGCTTCCTGGCTGGTCAGGTAAACCTCTGAGTTGTCTTGCTGAATGCTCAAGCAATATGTCAATGAACAAGGAGGGCCTGCCGGAGGTGTCTGCCAGTCTGAGCTTGCAGGAGCGGGAGGAGGGCAGCAGGCTCAGCTTGCAGCGGTGCGATGGAGGCAAAAGTAGCCAGGCATTCATCACTATGAGCTGGAACCAGCAAGTGATTTTCTCCACGTCCAGGTAGGACTGGGTGCAGAGGTATCGCAGGAGGTGAGGGCCCTCATTTCTGCCCAGCTCAGCCTCAGGGTGGTGCAGGAAGCACAGCGCGTCCCCCAGCAGCTGCTCCCTCTGACACACGCACTCGAGCTGTGCGTGAACACGGCCGTGCCTGGCTGGCAGCTCCCCGCTGGTGCCCAGCTCCAGATGGAAGGAATGCGCAGCTGGTGGCTTCGAGGGCACGAGCAGGCTGTAGACGGTGTTGTCATGGCAGGGGCTCCAGCCTTCGAAGGCACTGCCCACTCCAATGCAGGGTTCCAGCTGAGGCAGAACAGTCTTCAATGTGAGGAGATGGCAGGCATGCAGGAAGTCACCCACCAGCACCTGCACCACCTTGCCCCTTTTGGCCAGGCGCTGCACTGGCCACTGACTGAGCTGCTCCAGAAACCTTCCCGCATCCCGTTCATATGCAGCGTCTTCCTCTTCACTGCTAGAGGTGCTCTCATCACTGCTTCTGTCAGACTCATCAAAGTCTTGCTCTGTGGCCATGCAGAAGAGCCCAAAGAGCAGCCCAAAGGTTCCAGCAAAGGCTCCAAACAGCCCCTTGCCCTTCATGGCAAAGAGCACTTCTGCTGTGAAAAGTCCGCTCTGCGGCTCCTCAGTCATGTGCTCCAACTCCTGCTGCAGCCGAGTCAGCTCCTGACTTTGCTGCTCGTGCTGCTGCATCTGCTGTTGTGTGGCCAGATCTATCTGGTCACTGACCTTCAGCGGCTGCAGGACGATGCTCAGCATGGCCAGGATGAGGACAGTCCCCACAGCCGTGGCCTAGAGGAGATGGGAGAGCAGGAGATGAGGATGTCTGAGTGGGAGAGCACTTGCCCATTGCGGGCAGAAGCTGCAGGTACCCCGGGGCAGGATGGGAGAGGGGAGGCAGCAAGGACGGGACTAGCGAGTGCTGCCTGAGCGGGGACCATGGGCTGCCCCAGGGAAAGCCTGCAGGCTCGAAGGGGTGATGCTGCTGTGCTGGGGCCAGTGCTGCCAAGCCTGCCCTGAGGGTCCCCTGGCTGGGCTTTGCCCCACAGACAGGCAGGGGTGCAGGAAGGGCAAGTGCCACCAGAGTGTGGCCTGCCAACGCACACCCCATGCACATGGGGGAGCAGCGTCCTGCAAAGCTGCGAATGGCCAGCACACGCCCAACGCATCTGCAGGCGCTTGGGCCCCCAGCCCCCAAGATGGCAATGCCCCCAACCCGAGGTGCTCCTCTGCATGCCTCAGCCCTTGCTGCAGTGTTAGAAAGCCCTGGGAGGGAGGAAGATGGCACTGGTGCCCCAGCCCTCGCCCCCATGGCCTTGCCCTATGGCCACACTCACCATGCAGAGGCTGCTGCAGCCTGGGCTGCCCTAGGGTGCACTGATGGCTCCTGCCTTTGTGACGTGTCCTCTGTGCTGTCATGGGGGCACCAGCCCTGGCCATTGTCACGTCATGCCCTGCCCGGCTCAGTGGCACGCACTGGCCTCAAGCAGCCAGAGCCGAGGCCCTGGCACCCACCGCCACCGAGCCCATGCAGCAGCACGTCGTGCCCACGGGCTCCCCTCAGCATGTGAGCAGGAGCCCCCAAAAGGCCTTCGTCCTGCTAAGCAAGAAAGCCTAAGAGGCACTGTGCAAGGAGGTCCTTGGCTCATCAAGGAGAGGGTCAGTGTTTTCTGAGCCAGGTGGACAGGCTCTGGCTTGTAGTCCTAAAACAAGAAGGAGCCTTTGGGAAGGGACAGAATTGAGGAAGTGCTGCTCCTCCTTCCCACAAGGCGTTTATTGCTTTCGAGCCTCACGACCCTTCTCCAGCATGCTGTTGCGCATGGGGTGGCTGTTCTGCAGCTGCCAGGGCACGTGTGCCGGCCTGACACGGGGCTGCATGGACCTTGGTGAAGCGTTAGGGCCTCCTGCTGTGCACGCTGGTGGGACCACACTCCCCTGGTCCAGACACGTGCCTGGAGGGTGCTGGTGGGGAGAAGATGGAGAGCGCTCTCCAGGAGCAGGTGTGCCCTGGGCACCCCTCTGCCTGGGGACACTTGCTGCTCTTCCCCTCAGGGGCTCTATGCAGTTGAGCCGTGGGCTAGAGCTCGTTAGTCATTTCCTCCTAATTGCCTAGAGCTCTGCAGGCAGCAGCCAGCAGGCTGTGCTGCCATGGAGAGAGAAAGTCTGGGTGTAAGTGAAACCACTGCTAAGGCCTCTTCCTTCAGGGAAAAAGTTTCTGTCTGTGTTGCTGAGGAGAAACGAGGGACCAAGGGGTAACAACGGGTAGCTGAGAGCAAGCCCAGCGGGAGGAGCTGTTGAAGAAGAGGAGCCAAGGAATTGAATGAAGTAGGGCAAGAGGACGGCTGCAACGTAGACCCTTCAGAAAGGCCACCTGGGAGGGCTGTGGAGGGAAATGCTCCAGCGTGGTACACGAGGATAGCCAGAGCCAATCTTTTCCTCCTGTTTGTGTCCCATGGCGAGCACGGGAGCCCAAAGGACTTTGCTATTGATTACTCCGGCTCTCCCTAGTTGCTGCTTGGCTTTGCTTTGGCTGTTTTGGTGTGTTTTTCTAACCAGCTGTGCTTCCACAAGAAGATACAACATTTTCTGTCAGATCAGTTGGCATGGCTCGAAAAGGGAGGTGGAAGGGACGGGAGGGGAAAGGAAGAGAGTGGGCAAGAAAAAGGAAAGAGGAGAAAAGTGAAACCTGAGAAAAGGGAAATGAGAGATGAAAAGAGAACAGAAAAGGGATGAGAGAAGGGGGAAATCGAAGAATAAAGGAAAGAAGGGGAGAAGAAAAGGGAAATGAAAGAAAAATGAAACATAAGGGAAATGGGAGAAAAAAGAGAATAGGGAAGAAGAAGGGGAAGGAAAAGTGAAAAGAGAAGAAGAGAAAAAGGAAAAGTGAAAACAGAAAAGAGGAATTAAAAAGGAGAAGAGAGCGCTGCCTGAGTGGGGAACTCCGACTGCTCCAGGGAAAGCCCTCAGGCTCTGGTTCCAGGTCCTACTCTTCCTGTTGGAAGATTGGGCCAAAAACCCACTCCTCTGGTGGCTTTAAAGCTTCTTGCTTCACGGTTCATTGATGCTATGGCAAAGATATTTGTGTTTTTGTATATCTAGTTAAACTTCTGTGGCCATAATTCTCCCCTCATACCGCCCCAAGTAATTTGAGCAAAATCTTTTAGAAACATTGATAGCTCTATCTCTAGTGGGACTTAATTGTGTTGCAAAGTCTACTTTCTTCCTCTAGTCCGTATGCAAAGAACACTATTAGTAGAGTGCATCAACAGACCTTTTCATATATCAGAGACCTTAGATACTAGGTTTGTGTTAGATACTAGCTTGATGTTGGAACTTCCTGTGTTAGAGGTCACTTGTTTATGAGACACAGAAAGACTTGCTGCAATGAAGCTGGTATCTCCTCAAACAAAAATCCTAAGCTTTAGGAGCATTTGCAGAAATAATTAGCTAGTGGATAACTGGAGCTTTAATTGCCAAAGTGATATGCTATATTTCTATTGCCCTTTCTAGGGAAGACTTGTGCCTTCTGAGGAAAGCTGTAGTATTGTATCTAAATAAACAAATTCCTTAATTAAGCTGTTTACAGGTAAGTATATTAAATATACTTTTATAGAGGAGAAAAACAGCTTTTCTAAGAGCTGTGGTACATCATCATTATCTTGTGACTCAGTCTGCTATATTGACTTGTTTTTCACACAGAGTGAACCACCCTGCAACAGGACAATACGCTTGGGCTCTCTTGTCCTTGGATTTGTGTTAATTCTCTTGCATCCTAAAATTTATGTGGTCAGCTGTGTCAGTCTTCACTTCCCTCTTAAACATCCGAAATCACTCAAGTATTATTTGCTCTTGCATTACTCCATTTCTGTGGTACTTGTTGCCTTCTTGAAGTTCATAGGGAAAATCTCTTCTGTTGCCTCCACTTCTTTTCCTTGTTTTTTTTTTTCTTTTTTGAACAGTTCCTGCCTTTCTGATGTAACTACTCTTATTTCACCAGTACCTGTGCAGTGGTTTCATAATTTTTTTGATATGTGCCAAATTGAGGGTATGATGGGAGGATGTGTAGCATTAAGTAGGCCTTGAATCTGAGATAATTCTGTGCTACCCTGTGTGGATTTACTAATCATATGGTCCTTGCTGGGATTGCCGCTGTCTTTCCTGTCTTCTCTCATTTCACATCACAGTTCAAGCTGTGCAACATTATTTGTGCTCTACATATCCTCCTCTCCCTCACTTCACTTGTTCATTCTGTTTGGTCTTCACTGGTCAGTATTTCAAAACACAAGCCGACATAACTTAATTCCTGACGGCTGCAAATGAACATCATCTGTGTTCCTGAGGAGGATAAATGATATAATTCTGTAAAAACTGTAAGGCTTTAGAAGACTATTGAATATAAGCATAGAATTTTTTGTGTTTTGCTAATTTTGCTAGCAAAGAAAATGAAGGTTTCTGCTTTCTCTAGTTCTAGAGATAAGGCTCGGCTGACTATTGCTTGTGCTTGCTAGACTTAAAAATAATTTATTTTTCCTGAAATGCAAGATTGTTTTTGCATGCATGTGGCTGCATAGCAAGCTCTGATTAATAGAGTTTGTGGTCCTCTTCCTGAGCTGAATTGAAATTAAATATTTCCAAGCTGACTGTTAAAGCAGTGTGGTTTTTTTTTTTTTCCTACAAAACAAGCACTGACCCTAACTAATTTGCTTGGATATTATGGTCTCGGTAACTACTCTGAGCATATCCTCAGCTCTCCTGTATGCTTACCTTAAAAGGAGATAAATAATAGCTGTTGAACTGATGTTGCCTACTTGAGAAACTCCAAGAGAATGAAATGCAGGACTGGAAGGTTCCCAGTCTGAAATCATAGTCATCGTCTTTGGAGGACTTTAATTCATATCCAGCTCCAAGGGGATAGTGGAGCCTATGTTGGAGACCATCTTTTGATGTGTTACTCTCTCTCTGATATTGACAATTAAATACTGGGGCAGAGAATGGGATGTGGTAGCCTGAATACTTGTTTCAGATGCAGAAGGCAGAGGTTATATCTACCTCAGTGAATCAGTTACGCAAACTGGAACTTCTTCAACAAAAAAAATGAAGAAAATTCCTGAGGCTCGTGTTCGGAACACCCTTCTGGAGAGATAATGTAGTTTTAAATCGATATTTCAAATTAGTCAGATATTTGACCGTGAGTGTTCACAGCCTGACTAGTCTAACCACTATTTTGAGGCTTGCAGATCATGATTTTTCTGTTTAGACTGAAGTTCCTAAATAGCTTTAACATTTTTCAGAGTTAATGGGAACTATGAAATATAAGAAATAGAATGAAGATAAAATCCAGCCAGGTGAACTTGATTTAATCTGCTATAGTAATATAAGTTAATCCACTTAGCAGCTGAATAGAAGATGGTTCTCATGCACACAGAGAAGAGCTGATATACTGTTGTCTTGATTATTAATGTAGAGGTTTATTGTTTCTCTCAAAACTTTGCTGTAAAATTACATCCATTTGGGTAGAAGCAGTATTGGGTGGATATCTACAGAATTTATTGGACTTATTGAGCTTAAGTTTGCTCATAAAATGCTTACAAGACGGTTGTGATTTCATCTTTTTTTTTCTTTAATTTATTTGACTTAGCTTTCTGTTGAAGACTGGGTTTTTCTTCCTCTCTGTGTTGCTGTTGGTAGCAAGCAGTTATGTGATTAACTGATGCCATGAGTTTGAGTACTGATGAGCTGCTGTGATTACGTAAGTCACAATCTATCATTTATATTTCTTGACTGGAGGAAAACAGCTTTGTAATTGGGAAAAGAACTGGAGACCACAGCATGGGGACACAGATTTGACTCTCAGGGAGCAGCAGCAAATTAAGAGGATCAGGAAACTCATCTTGACCTAACCTGTATTTAAAATGTCACTCCTGGAACCAGTGGCCTATTTTTATCTCTGCTCTGAGTACAGATGAGAAATGAAATCTTCTTTTGCCAGTTATTTATATTACAATAGTTTCTCCCTGTCCCAGTGCTGCTCTTTGTGCTTGCCATTCTTCATACTAACAGCGTCTTGCTTGTTTGCCTGCAATAGGGCCTATTGTCCCATATGCGCTCTATTAGCTGCAGAGCCTTAATGGTTTAAAGGCTGACCACTTTTATTTATAATTATAACTTGAATATGGGCAGTGGAGTTATTTTCTTTCTCTGGTAAGCAGATATAGGAGATGTGTTCATTTTCAAGATAAAGTCATTTATTACGTGTTCTCCTTTATATGTACAAAATACAGCATACGCTGAATTACTAGAAGCCATGACCAATGACGAATGACAGTCTGTTGAATTAGCTTGGTAAAGGGACAGAACCCAATATCAGGACGGAAAAACACCCCTTCTGATAAGTTTGGGTTATTGCACATTTTTTCCTGTGTGTAGCTGGCAGCTGACTGGCTCCTTGTAGGAAGCACCATCAGTTCTGCAGCAGTTCTGATAACAAGATTGCAATAATCTGTAAACAGAAATCCATAACGTGCTTTCTTGCGAATGTGCAAGTGGTTTACACCTTTTAGGTTAAGAAATAGCAGCTTCTTCCTTGTCCTGGGGTTTCTGTCTGATTGTGATTCAAATCTTAACAGAAGGACTCAAATATTGAACTTAGTTTTGTTGGAATTCTTGACAAGATGAGACAAATCCAACAGAGGGAGGTAGAAGAGGCCAAAACTGCCACATACAACTTCTCTGTAAGGCTGTAAACCAAGAGGGGAAGTGTTAAGCCCTTAAACTGGCTCCATATACTGTGTTACCTTAGCTTTTCAGTTGCATTTTTGATTCAAGAATTTCTATGTAATTTTATGACCACGAACTGCAGTTAAGGGAATGAAAATCTTGTCGGAGTTCTGCAGGCTTTGCTATGCTGAATTTATCTTGTACCTTTTGGGGGTATATCTCCATTAGGATTTGGAAAGGCAATAAGCTCTAGCTCTCCAGTAAACTGGGTTTCTACAGCATCTTAAGACCTTTTTAGACTAAAGGAGCTATTGCAACAGAGCTCCTGCTAGATTACAGAAAGATTAAAATCTATGGAAAATGGCAGGTATTTTTAACTGACCGAGGAGCAACTACTTGAAACGAGACAGGCAACTGGCATATAAAAATTAAGATCTAAAGGAGAAATGAAATCTTTTGCACATATCTTCAGTGGTGGCTTCATTTGCACCTCTCCCCTGTAAGGTACAATGCACTGCATACTCTTCTGGAACATGAGGTATTGGGGACTGCATTTTTTTAGTTTAGGTTGGAGCCACGTTCTCTGAATGTCTCTTCAGTGATATAGAAAGCCACTAAAACCAAAGGTGAAGTGAATGGTTCTACATTGTATATGAGAAATTAGATCATCTCAAATACCCATCTCTGTTTTTCTATTCTGGAGAGGAAGGTTTTAGTTCTTCAGTTTATTCATTCCCCTATTAAAACATAAGTCCTTGCCATAAAAAATACAGAAATTCCATATAGCTCTTTACAGAAGTGCTTTTTCCCCCTCTGTTCTGTATCATGGAAAGTCTAGTGTTATAGAAAAATATTTATTCCAAGTGATTTGTTATTTGTTGGGTTTGCAATGCTTTTGAAATATAGGTATTGATTTTTTTAAGATTACTTATCATTAAAAATGAGTACCCTAAAGCTTTAACTTTTCTTTGTTCTGTGAAGTTTGACTGAAGTAAGAGGAGAAAGTAGATCAGTTATTGGCAAGAACAATAATAGTTCATTCTAGTGTAAGAGTATTCTTTTTTTTTTTTTTGCCTGAAATTAAATTTCCTCTTAAGTTTGGTTTTTCTACGGAATTAGTTTAAATAAAAATTAGCAACTCATAGTCAGCCTTAAAACATTTAGATCTCAAGGACACTCTGAAAGTACTTACTAGGTGGCAGAGGTTTGCTAAAACACAACTACTACACTGTTGATATTCAAACATAGACAGAAAAGGGATGCTGACACATGCTCCTTACCTGGCCACCTCGCACTCGTTCTGTTTTTTGGGGTTAAAAGAGTAGGAGTAAATTAAGAAAAATTAGATGTCAATCATGTTGAGGACACAGTAGCACTGATGAATAAGTCATATGGGAATTCTGAAGAATATATTCATCCAAACAAGCTATTTCTTCTTTGCCTGTTTTTGATTTCTCTTCCTCCTTTTCCTGCTTAAAAAAATGGAGAATTGAAAAATATATCCATGTAAATTTTGCAAGTTAATTTACTAATGATAATTTATAATCTGAATTTCAGAATAAAGTAGGCCAGCATGTGAATACATGCATAGACTTCAAACCGTGCAGAAGTGTCATGTTATCTTTGTAACAGATAGTTGGCAAAAACTGTATTTACCCTCTTTCCTTTTTGTAATGCACGCCAATATGGTTAAATCCTATTTAAAACAAGAACAAGAGTTATCACTCCTTTGCTGTGTTTCCATATAATAGGATCTTCAAACTTGCCTTCAAATTACAGTTCTTCAAAATATAGTTCTCTGATGTTCCCTCAATATAGTCCCTTCACTTCAAATATCAGAGAGAACACATTGTTTAGTTTCCAACTGTGTCTGCTATATATGAAAGGCTTGTGTGTTCTTGATATGTAGGAGTTAGCTGCAACCTACCACTGCATGAGACGTGGAGACTAAAGTGGATCGATGCCAACAAAACTGTTATTGATATAAAACTAATTCAATGAAAAGCCAACGTAAAGGATTTTAACGATAAAGATGTGGTTCAAAAATCCAAGAATATGGAAGAACACTAGAAAAGGAGAAAGATTCTGGAAATCTGTAACCATTTGTATTGCTGTGGCAAAAATCCTGCAGAGATATCCTTTTTATAGTATAAACTCTTACTGTGCAAGCACGGAAAGCAGTGGCTGATAGTGTGGAAGTGCTTTCAACCTTGAGCCTTGGCCAAGAGTGAGCCTGCTGCAAATGTCTGGATATGGACTTGATGACCTTGAACTGATAATAAAGGTAATAAAAATATTTGCAGAGCACATGCCCACCAGTTTGAGCAATGGCTTATAAAACTGGGATGAGAGGTTTCGGTGCCTCTCCGAGAGGGTGCACCTGACACAGCTGTGTGTGCAGGCTGGATGTTAGGCACACAGCCTGCATGAAGCTGCAACATGTTGTTTCACGCCACATCAACTATTCATGTTATCTTTTGCTTCTGTATCCAACGCTGTGAGTACTTGAGGATGTACTTTTTAGCTGTTATCTGGAGAGAAGCTGTGGCAAAGCAGTGGTGGAGGGGAGCGGAAAAATGTTTTCTCTCAAAGCAAAGTAGATTCCTGGAGGCAAAGCAGTGACAAACAAATTACTTGTCTGCTATTTGTGCCTTCCTGTTGCTCTGGATTAATTTCTCTGTGGAGATAAAATAAGGTTCCCTTAGAGCATACATAGGCATTGGCTTTTCCCAGCCAGGAAGCTAGGCTCAAAGGCCCCCAGAACACCCTGAACAAGGAGAAGCAGCTGGGAACTGGTGTCACAGCGAGGAGAACAATCTAACGCAATGTTTTTTAAATTTGCGGGTACATAATTTCTCATTTTCCTGCTTTCCATGGACTCTAAATTATGTGCAAATGAGAGAGAACGAAAAGCATATAGTCTCATTCATGAGGTCAGGTCAGAAGAAACATCTATGGCATCAGGACTTCAAAGACATCAGGACTTCAAAGGAGAGGTTTAGCAAATGCCTGCTGGGCTGCTCATCATAACTGTGGTAGGAGGGAGTTCAACATAACAAGACTTGTGGGCTTTTAAAGCTATGAAAGGTATGTTTGTGACTGAGTAGCTGCCAATTACTTCAAACATATATTAGTAAAACTGAAATTAAAAAAAAAGAAAAATTGAGGTTTAAAGAGATTTCAGCTTTCTCTGTTCAGTAATGCATCAGTGGTAATCCTTTGTAAGGGTGAATAAATGCTGTAACAACTGGATCACGATTCTTTTGTTTAGTGGGTGGGTAGCAAGTAAACTATTCTCAGGGTCTTTCTGTGTGAGTAGCAGCACCCAAATCCTGTGTATGGTGAATTGAACTTAAAAGGACAGCAATTTATTCAGCCAATTTATTTACCGGCTGTTTGGGATCTTTTGAAAATCTTAACCCTGTGACACATACAGTTGATGAGCCTTGTGTTAAACTTACACGAGCACAATTTCAGGGAATATAAGCTATCAGATTTAAATCATTGTACACATATGAAGCAGATCTAACTGCATGTGGAGAATATCTACTGCAGTGTAATGACTATATTAAAGTAATGAAATCATATCAGTGAATGTTTAATCATTTCAAAGGAAGTTTTCATGATGTCTGTTCATCTTGGACCTGTAAATAGGGAAAAGAAATATAACCATTGAGATCTCTTCTTTAAGTCTGACTTTTTCCAAGAGCAAAGAGTGTTTATGAAGCTAGCTCTGACAGTCTCTTGCTATGATGACTTTTGGCATCAAACAAAGCAGGCACACAGCTAGAGGGTTAACAAGACGAACTGTATGGGAAATTGTTTGGTGACAGTGCTAGTTTGTACCTGTCCCTTTAATGGTTGCTTCTGTCATATAAAAGCGTGTAAGCAGTCAGTTTGCAGGAAGCGTGTTGGGTATAAATATTTAAATGGACTAGGATGAAGAAGTGCTCCGTTCTTAGAACTGCCCTGGGGCAAAAGCAGGAAAGTACCAGCCAATCCAGCCACACGTGTCGCAGACTAAAGGGTAAAATCAATCCCTTTGCAGAAGGCCTGCATGCTGATCTCTGTGGCATTGATAGCCACTGGGGAAAGAGAATAACAATAAAGTAGTTTGGCAGAAATCCTTTACTTTTCTGGCATGACTTAAGAGGGGATATGTACTGTCATGCTAGATATCAGGTTGAACACTTGAGTCTATTGGAAAGCTAAATCAATAAATATTTGTAACTTACTATCAAAGCACTGAATAGCTATGTGGATAGTTCCAGCCAATAATCTGGAGAAATAGCTGTGGGAAGATGATTGTGGTGTAAATAATCTGGGACATTCTTTACCTACGGGCTCCTGCTGCTAGGAGAAACGTGTTGCAAGATGTTCTATTTCATTTTGTGTTTTCCTGGAAACAAAGCATTTTGTCAGAGAAGTTTGATCTGTTGTAGGACTTGTCTGCTTGGATAAGTTATGATGTAAAAACTAAACTGTAAATTTAGCACTCCCTTAGTGACTCCGTTTATTCCCACCACACTCTTGCTATATCAGAGTAGCCTTCTTAATACATTGCTATATGGTTAGAGTACCAGCACAGGGAAGTAGTGCCCGAGAACATTAGAACGGCTGTCCTTGCAGAAACTGAAAGTTCATTTGGTGCAGGAATGGATCTCCATCAGTAGGTAGCCCCAGATAGACTGGACCAGTATAAGGGCAGGATAATCTTGATAATTCCTGGCATCCAGTACAGTTTGGAGACTTTGGGAACCTATGGAGTTTTATTTCTGTTTATACCAGAATCTTTCTCTAGTAGTCCTCAGGTTTGACTTGTCCAAGGCCCTTTTGAACACAGCTCAAGCTTGTCACATCGTATGTCAGAGTCCCGCAGCTTAACTGCTTCTTGTGTGAAGAAATTGTCTGTTTAGTTTTTGTTCAGTTGTTAGTGCTCTGTAAGTTGAGACCTTTAGCTTCCATTCTGGAGCCGTTTCTGTGTAGGTGCTACTACGACTCTATCCAGGACAGATGCTGCTAGGTAGCCTCGACATGACAGAATAAAGTATGGCATTGAGACAAAGTTATTCCATGTAGAAGAAACACCATAGGCATTCAGGCCAGTTTTCCAAGGCTTTAATCTGCTGTTTTACCTTTCATCTATCAGCAATTGCACACTTGCTCTTGCCATTTTGGGAAAATAAAAGCAAAAAGTCAAGATTTTTTTTTTTAAGCTATGAAATATTCATAGAGTAAGTAAAAAAAAAAAAAGCTGCATTGGTCATTGAGTCAATCGTTGTGAAGATCGATACACAGGTTTTCCAGAAAAATTATGCTCATTCATTGCTCTTTTTAGGTCCTGAGAGATACCAGAAGTTCCAATCCATACCCAGTAAAGAATACTCATGGTTTCATGCACAAAAATGCAGGAAAACACTCTTCTCCCCTGTATGATGAAGAGTGGTCTTGAACTATTTTTCTCTTCTCCTAAAGAGCAGGGTAAAGGAACACCAGATGAGTTGGATTCTTTGTGTCTCATAGTCCTTCTGTGCTATGTTGTGACTTCTGAATTTTCCAAAATATTGTCAAAAGGAAACAGAACTCTGTATTTTCAAAAGCTTCAGTGAATAATTTCCACAACACTTGCAAATATTTCATCAGTATTTTTTCCTGAAGTTCACTCGGTATACGTAAATCCTTATGTCTTCATGCAAAAACAGAGTATCCGTAAGGATAACCACTATAGAGGTTAAATCCAATGCAGTCATGATAAAACTTTTCCATTCTCTAGTGGTGTTTTAAAGGGTTTTTGTTTTAGAAGTTTTTTAATTATTTAGCCTGAGTGCCTCTGTCTGTGACAGAATGTTTAAATAATGCAACAGCAGAAAAAGATCAACAACATCCGTAAAAACAGCAATGGCCCAACTGGAGAGATTAAATCAGTATCATGCCACTCGGCCTAAAAAAAAAAAAAACCAACCCAAACCAGCTTTTTCTCTCAAAAGCCTAGATAAATGTAAGGAGTCTCATGATCTTTCAATTAAATATTTGGTTTATTTTTGACGAACGAGAAAATGAAGTCCAAAACTGACAATACTTAGTGGAGGCAGTTATCTTAGTCACTCTTTTTCTCGTATTGAAGGTGCTGCTGATGACAGACCCAAACCCTAGAAGGGAATTATTCCCTCTAGGAGGAGACCTTGAGCTATCTAAACTAGTGTCAATGTTGACAGCACCTAAGATGCAGAAGTAGCCCTCTGGCACTCAAGGCACTGATATGTCCTGTGTTGGTATACCACATGCTGCTTAGCAAAATGCCTTGTCCTACCCGTGCTTGAACTGCAGGGAGATGTGGGGTAATGGGATTTGAGGGCTTATGGCCTTGGCTGAGTCAAAAAAAAAGAAGAGCAAACTTTAAGCTTTACATCCTGTAACCATCCTGCAAGCACAGATTTTTTTGTCTAAAGAGGAAGCTGATGGCTTCAGCTGGGAGCTTTGCCTTCAGTACAGCTTCACTGAACAGAAATCATTTGTTAAGTCAGCAATAGCCCCTCAACAGGTGAGGGATGTTGGCGGGGGTGGGGTGGGGAACTAAGTTAGAAAAAATGCTTTTCATGCTGAGTGCGTGCTTTTCTACAGCACTCTATCTTAATAGACTCATCTATGGGCTTTACAAAAGGGTAATGATGAACTGAGAATTAGGGAAAAAAGACCTTAATAGAGTACTTATTCAGTGAATACATGTACGCCAGCTGGCTGTAACAGGCTTAAAAATATTGATGCCTGCAAGGAAACCCTCTCTTGTCTGGCTCTAGCTATGAGGAGTTTGCTGTCTGAAAGAGAACAAATATGTAAACTTGGAGCTTCCTGCAGGGAGGGAGAAATCCCTCACCTGGCCCATGGCCCCTCTGCCCCCAATGTTGGTCCCAGGCACACAGTGGGGGCTCAGGTCCATGACCCCTTTCCTGTGGGGCGAGGAGCTGTGCTGGGACCACTGCCAGGGGACAGGATGCCCATCCTGACCCCAAGGGGCAGAGAAGATTTGCCCTCCAAGAGCTGCCCTTTTTCACCTTGTTATCTCCATGGTCCGACTTTGCAAGGTGGCGGCGGCAGGTGGGCTGAAGCTGCGTGACCTCCTAGTTCCTGCTATGGGAGTGTATGAATGGCAGCGCCTGCAGAAGGAGGTGCTACTCAGCCCCTAGCGCAAACCGCTGCCTGGGCTTATGTCCAATGAGATGTCATTGTCAAAATCATCATTTGCTGCTTCTATTTTTTAAACAGTTCTTTCTGATAATAATGGCAAGCTCAGACCTTGGCTTTGGTAGCCAATTTTTTTTTCTTCCCCCATCTGGATACCTCCTTGGAGATGATATGTCCCAGTAAAGAAGTGTTTTGGATATTTTTATTTGAGCACCTGCTACCCAAGACAAGGCTGGGAGCTGGCTAATTCCCAGCGCAGGGATCAGCGTATGTTTCCAGCTGAGCTACCGGTTTCTGCAGGCTGGGGTTGTCAACAGGGGATCTTTCTTAGAGGGGACAGAGCAGCACTCCTTTAGCAAACAAGGGACAGGTGATGGGGAGACACCTTACACCCACGTGGCTGCACCAGAGAAAGCAAGTGGGAAGGCCTTTAACGCAGTGGATATAATTTAGATACCTCAACATGGGTGTCAAGCACAACTTGAGATGCCCTGGAGTGCCCCAGTCATGCCAGGCAGCTCGTGCAGATGTATGGGATCCCCCAAGGCAGCTCAGGTGTTACTCAATGCTGATATTCAGGCAATTGAATTAAACCATAGATTAGTCTAAAAGCCTAAAAGTCAAAGTCTGCATAGCAATAGTAGAAGTGACCAAAAGACCTATAAGGCACAGACAGAACAAGAGCAGACATTTTGGCAGAAATAACAGTGACCTGCCTGTGAGGTCATGCTACATCCAAGTATTTAAACAAGCTTCAGTGGCTCATGGCAATTTTTACAGGTCCTGAAATTTTGAAAAATATAAAACTGAAAAACTCTTTGAAAACTTTTATTGGTATTTGTTATTTTTTTCTCACTTTCAGGCCCTTGATAATCAGTTTTGTTACTAACAGGAGACAAGCCAGAATGTACAATTTAGATTACGAAATGACAACAAGCAGCTGGGTCTACACCATGAAATTAACTCAGATGATTTAAATAAGCTTCGGAAGGATAAATGCATTCTCAGAAACCAGAATTTTTATTTTTTTTGGATCCATAAACACAGAAAATAAGTTTCATTAAATCTCATGATGTTCACTTGCAGGTAGATAAATCACTGAAGCCTTCTCTGTTCAACTCGTAGCAAGTCCAGTAAGTACCTTCCACTTCCTTTTTTGACTGTGAATTGTCCAAACACTAGTGAACTACAGCACGATTATGAAGCAGGGCAGGAGCTGGGATATGGTGATCGCATAATCTCTCCTGTATTCTGGTGTCTTCTTGGGAAGTGTCTGTCCTTTCCATAAAAGCTCAGATTCTGCTCTGCAAGAGGAAAATGTCACAGGAAAATGTGTAACGACAGAAATGCAAAGGATTCGATT